CCTCAGGCCGCTGACGTCTCGGCAGCGCCTTCTAAGGTCCCCGTTTCCCAGCCGCCCATGCGTACGGAGTCGTGGCCCCCTCGGTGAGATTCTCCAGCCGTTGCCAAGGGATAGCATTGAATAAAGCCGCGCTGATTTTCCTAGGAGCTTGCGGGTTGTCCTTATGGAATTTTGCGACTTCTTTCCTTGCGTTGGCAACGTTGGCTAGTGGTTCCCACGAGTCGTGCTCCTGACCATAGCCCTTCCAGCGTACTAGGTAGATAAGCTTATCCTTGTATCGTCTGTCGATCTTGGAGTCAAGGATCTTATCTACTTCGTATTCGAGCTCGCCGTCAACTTCTAACGGCTCTGGTTCCGGATAGCGGCCATATTGATCCGTCTCCGTGCACAAGGAGAGTTTCTCATAATGGAACGTATCATGCAGCTTGTAAGAGGGTGGCAATTCTAGACGATACACGTGTTCTCCAATCCGTTCTTTTACGGTGAACGGACCGAGGCGCTTAGGTCCAAGCTTCTTTGCAGGAACCTTAACACGGTAGTACTTGGCGTCTAGCCAGACTTTGTCGCCCTCTTTGAATGCTTTAGGCCTGACGCGTGGGTCTTTGTAGGACTCCACCATGCGTTCCTTAGACATTCGTAAAGCTGCTTCTGCGTCCTTCCGAGACTCCGCTAGGCGTTTGAGACGCTGGTCCACTGCTGGTATCTTGGACGGTTGCCCGGGCGAGATGCTGAACTTAGGTTGATAGCCGTATAGTAACTCAAACGGACTATAACCTGTCGCACTGGATACACGACTGTTCAACACAAACTCGGCCGTGGGTAGCAGGTCTGGCCAGTCACGCTGACGTTTGTTCACAAACATGCGCAAGTACGTGCTGACGTCCTTGTTCTTGCGCTCTGTCTGGCCATCGGCTTGAGGATGGTACGCCGTTGTGATGCCTGCTTTTATGTCCAACCGTTTGAGCAACGCTCGCATAACCCGTGCACTGAACTGGGGCCCGCGGTCTGAGACGAATCGTTCAGGGATGCCGTGTAGTCGATAGATTTCTTTGTAGTGAATATCGGCTACCCCTTCTGCGGTGATTGTCTCAGAGCACGGGATCAAGTGCACGCCTTTGCCATAAAGATCGGCAAATACCAGAATAGCGTCGCAACT